GTTATCAGCAGGTGGTATACACTGACCAATGATTGAAGGATTATTCCATTTTCCTAAATTATTAGTTTTTAGCAGTAATTTCAAACAATAATATAAAATCTTACTTGATGATAGATTATACATTGAGTGCTCATTAGTACACCAGTTTCCACTAAAAAACTTAATATATTTATAATGAGGTAGTCGTACAGCTGGTTTAGATCCAAATCCTCCTATCATTAGTAAATGGTGTACTCCATCATGTTCAAATGATATCATTCCACCAGCAGATCTCCTCATAACTGGTCTAGTTGCATCAGTTGGTTCTAATTCTCTCCATTGAAGACTAACGGTATCCAGTTGTGTAATACTGTTGTGAAAGCAGTCGTCATGGCCACACCATCCCCCAAAATGATACAATTGATCATTTATTGCAGTACAGCAGTACGATCTCACTCCTAATGGAGGAGTGCCAGTAGTACTTCTAGTGATCCATTGACCAGTTGAAGGAGTAAAGTGCTGTACATTACTAGTGATCCTTCTCTTCTCTTCACTATCATGTACTTTAGGTAAACCATCCTGAGCACCAGCCCACACATACAGTGAATCACCTATCGATACAGTGTGGTGAAGGGCTCTTCCCTTCAGTTGATCTATGAATGATTGACAGTACATAATACTGGAATAGTAACATTAGGACTTACTTGTATCAGGGATACTATTAGTCTGGGCCCCAGCCCTGACTAGGATACTATCTTTATCTCGATCTTTATTTTTAGAACCAAACATGCCAAACAACCAAGCCATTTCTGTGGCCACCCCACCTACTGTACCTCCAGCTCTAGCTCTATAGATCTAGAGGAGGTTGGTCATGCGTCATGTAATGATGTCACTTCCTCTAGCTACTTTCCCTTCATAAAAAATGGAGTATTCTCCCTCTTTTTACTTAAGCAGCAGTTATCTCACTAAAAATACCTGCAATTGACTCAAAAACCTCAGTGCATCCAGATAAAAGACTAATAAACATGGTAACTTCTGTTCAGTCAACTGCAGGTAGCACTGAAAAGCTTGTCCTCTGTCTCAAATAACTAAACCACACTTTTCTGGAAAATACAAAGATATTGCATCTTTAAATAAAGTGCAGATCTTATTCTTACCCTTACTCTTTGTTTGTAAAGTGTATGCAGACTTCTAGTTGTCCATAAAATGTGATAGGTGAAGAAGTCTGAAACCAGTTACAACTTAAGAATATTGTACTGCATTAAAATCAGAAAATTGTATCATGTTTATTAGTCTTTTATCTGGATACTCTGACGTTTTTGAGTCAATTGCAGGTATCTTTAGTGAGATAACTGCTGCTTAAGTAAAAAGAGGGAGAATACTCCATTTTTATGAAGGGAGAGTAGGTAGAGGAAGTGACATCATCACATGACGCATGACCAACCTCCTCTAGCTCTGCAGATCTGAGCTGATCTGATCTGCGCTGCAGATCTGCATTAATGAAATTGTTAGTATGGGTGTGGCTGGTTAATTAACATTCTTGACCATAGATATTAGCACATAGAGTACAGACAAACAATGTCTAAAGGTCAGTTTCTGTTTCTTCCTCCTCTTTCTCATCATGTTTGTATTTTACAGGTATCTATCAACTGGGAGGGATATCTCAACACTCAGCTCCTGTAGTAGGAGAATCAGTGTTCCTTTGGGGAGGGGGTAAGCCTGACTTACCTGTTGTTCATGATTCCCCACAAAAGAGGAAATTGTTGTCCACCATTGATAGACTGGAGTTTAGGATTGGTCATTGGTCCTCTCACGTGACCAGAGGAACGTCACCTCCTCTAGGAGCTGTAGGATACTTCTGTACTACCAGAAACAATGACATCTTCTTTTTTGGCGGTTGGTGTGGACATGATATCTGCTATTATAATGAAGTCAACTCATTTAACAGTCTGACATATGAATGGAGTAATATAATACCAACCAGTGATGCTGTAATGAAGAGAGGGTATGGTGGTATGGTGTGTATGGAGTCTATAGGTACAGAATACCTATTTATGATAGGAGGGATTGGTTCTACACCCACTACATACCAATCACAGTATCAGTATATTCAGTTGGTTACTGGTCATATTCGTACTAACGAACAGAATTTATTAGATTTATCAACAAGTAAGTATATATTAATATTAACAATCTATACTTTGCTTGTGAGGACATATTTTTCAATCATTATTTTTGTTACCATTTTCATATTAAGTAGGTGCATGTAAACATTGAAGGAGTGTGCATGAGCCATCATTGTATGAAGAGACAGTTGATTTGACTAACTAATTTTGAGTTACATCAACTACATAAAAGTAAAAATACAAAATTCAAAATGAAGCCTTCAAGCATGGATGCATCCTACTCCACCTATTAATAATTTGTCCACATGGTCTAATTAAATTTATTGATTAACGTCCCTGACCAATGCTTTGTGTGGGTGAGGGACTAGGTAGTCTGATTGTCTGTCATTCATTCATTGATTTAGTTTACTGAACTCTAATAATCATTTTATTCCATTTATGAATGATATTGTCAAATGTTGTCATATTGAGCCACAACTGACATGTATCTGTACAAAGTTGAACGAAATGAAAATTTTAATTTGGTCGTTAGTAGCAAACTGCCAAATTAAAGTTAATTTACAGCCATTATTTCTTGCTATACGTGTATATACGTGATATTTGCAGTGTCATACTTAATAATTCTAATTATACTATCTATTTCTATTTAGGACAATGGATTATTCCAGCTATTAGTGGTCAGTGTTGTTCTCCTATTAATTCCTTTGCTATTCAAAAGATTACTGATAATAAAGCTGTTATGTTTGGTGGAGCAGTGCCTAGTGATGATGGTAGAAGCTTACTTGTTAATACAGTCTATACATGTCAACTGGAGTCTGATACTACAATAGTAAGTTATCTTATTACTGTATGGGATGTATTTATTGCATGGATCAATCATGTTTGGACATTAATACATGTACATACGGGTATAGCTTGTAATTAGAAAAATGTATTTAAATGAGTATTACATGTAGATTTGGTTTAATAATTCATTTTAATGGAAACTGTACAATTATCACTAGTATTAACATAATTATTTTATAATTTAATGGACAATCTTTTAA